CGATCCAGAAATTATACTATGGTTCACAAATAAATAAAAACAAATCCCTACTTCATCATGCACTGACATTAAAATAATCTCCCGACCCTCTTTCCACACTTCCAAATACCCACTACCCCTCAACAGGATAGCCACAATGATATTTCCTTTTGCTGAACTTCCATTAAACAACGCCATTTATGTTTCCCTCCCCATCTTTCAGACACAGAGGGAGGCGAATCAACGAGCCCGCGAAAGATTTTTCAACTCACAGGCCATAGAAGCAATCGCGCCAAAAAACAGCACAGAACACAATCGCCAAATTTGGTGAAATTAGGGCGATTTAGAGTTGTAACCATAAAATGTTTTAAATATCAAGATACGAGAAAAAAAAAAAAAAAAAAATTTTACGACAAAAAGCTAACAAGGCAATTTTTCTTGAAATAAAAATTTCTTAACGTTCTTCAATTTTTCTTCAAATTCAAATGTGGGGCAACTAAAATACTTACAGGAGGCCACAGGTTGAAGAGATTTAGCTTAAAGCTTTTTTTTTTTTTTTTTTTTTTTGTTTGTTTGTTTTTTCGCTCATATTTGAATAAATGCTTTCCTATTGTTTATTGCAGTTTTTAATTTTGTTATAAAACATTTTACACCCTTTTGCTACTGTCTTAAAAATGGAGTTAAATATTATGAAAAGTCTTTATTTTGTTGGTCTCATAAAATTACATAGTTATTAACTTTCAAATACTTTAGATAAAGTACCCATGTGAAAATGGGTCAATGTGTACATGGATAAAGTCAAGGGAGTGCATAATACCAATTTTATGCAATTCTGGGTTTTTTTTTTTTTTTTTGGGAGTGAAAATCGGTCAATATGTACATGAATATCGAGCATATGTAATTCTTAAAAACAAGTCAAGCAGTGAGTGATTCTGCACCCCCTTTTTCTTGAAGTCCTGTTTTAGATATTTTTGCATATTTACATGATCTTTTTTTTTTTTTTTTTTTTGCATGTTTGGTACAACTTTGGTAAATGCCTTAATTTCACCAAATGTGGCGATATGCGTTTTGCGCTGGTTTTTGGCGCGATTGCGTGTTGTATGGCAACCATGTCGACGTTGAAAATCTTTTGGTGGAGAGTTAATTGCTAGTTGGTTCGTGTCGTGTGTGTTTTTGAAATGGCCTATGTTGGATAAAGACGTGGTGGGAAGGTTTCAGCCGCGTATTTTAGATTGTGTGGAAAGTAAATTTAGTATTAAAAGGTACGATTTTGGAGTTGTTAAAGAGTCTTTTGTTCACATTGTTCACAATTGTTCGAGGATCGGAGTGTTTGGAATTTCTGGGAGTGGGACTTTTAAAATGAGTTTGAGTTCGAAATGCGGAGTTGATTGAGAACTCGGACGAAGAAAGGCGTTTCTGATAGTTCTTCTGTGGACTTGCAGTTAAATGCTTGCTGATAGAGTATATGACTGTCAGCGGAGTTTAAAATTTGGATCGTGGATTTCGTGTAGCAAGTTAACGTTGGAGGAAGTTTTTATTGTTACTTTCGAAATTTTGAATCGTAGGAAGGTATGTGATATAGCAAAATCGTGGAAGTTTTTCTTCACAGACGTGTGTGACTGCCGAAATTTTATTAACGAACGTATTTTGGACTTTGTATGCTCTGTATCTGAGAAGATAGGGGGGAAAGATATTTCTGCTTTTAAAAGAAAGCTTTTCATTATGGTAGTGTATTTTATTTTATTGTTTTTATTTTGTAGAATGTTATATCATTGTTTTTGTATGAATTTCCGTTTTTATTGTTGTTTTTTGAATTGCCTGAAATTTATTTTAGTGTTATTTTCTTGATTTGTTTTAGTGTAGATTGTGCAATTCGTATGTTTTTTTAAGTTGAAACAGAATGCTGTGTACATGGTATTCTTTGAAATTTATTGTTGTTATGTTAATTTATTAAAGCGAGGTGTGCGTAATTCGTAGATTCGTTCGTTGCCTACAGTGTGCCATTCGTAGGTGTTTTTTTAAGTTAAAACATGTCGCTGTGTACATGGATTCTTGTCAAATATTTTTGGTTAGAAACTTTACGTTTTTGCTATCTAAATTTTTTGTTTTTGTTTCGGATTTTTAGCTTAAATCGCATGTTCAAAACGTAGTTTTTACATGTGCGAAAACCGTGTTTTTGGAGACATTTTAGGCTTAAAGTTCGAAATGTTGACAAAAAATGTAGATAGTAATATGGCAGCGTGAAGTTTCTCGCCAAAAATATTTGGCGACTTGAGGGCGCATATCAGAGTAGTTCCGCATGTTTACAGAATTAATTCAAACTCACAACCATCTAATATGGCGATATGATGAATTGGCGATTTTCTAAAATGCGCAAAAACAACTGATTTGGTTACTTTTGAAAACTGGACTGTAATATCCAGTTTTACAGGAAAATGGATCTAAATATATATAAAAATAATGGAATAAAAAATTCAGATATTCAGAACATACAAAGTACTACTTAGAAAACATTGAAATCTCAGAAAACAATGAAAACCATAACTGATAAAGAACTTTTTCAGATCACGGTAGATTCCCGGCTTACCTAAGGAGATTTAAAATTCAACAAAAAACAAACTGTGTACTATGCAGAAATCTGGGAAATAGCATGCAATATGTGGAAGAATGTAAATTAACAAAAGACTTTAGAAATGACAAGATGGACTTTAAGGACCTAGTTTATACCAGAAATGAAGCAGAAAACATACCAAAAGATATCATAGGTGTGGTGTGGTGTATTTAATTAAGGCAAAGCACACTAGGGCTATCTGCCTAAGGGGAGGGATGCCTTCGTGGAGGACTTTCTAAGGGAAACTGGCTCGTATACACGTTACACAAGGGGAAAACCACGAAAACACTCATGCAGCCAGCCCATTCGCAGGATTCGAACCTCGGACCGAACTACCAGTGTTCAGCGACTTTACCGCTCGGCCGCTGGTGGGCACCAAAAGATATTATAGAAAGAATTTATAAAAACCTGGTAGCAATTAGAATAGACCAATAACAAAGAACACCTAATATGGCTGCTGCTGGAGACTTCGTTCATTCATGTTGTTTTGTTCTATATGTTTTTCTTTTGTGGCCAGTCTAAAAAAAGGATAGGGCGAGCTTGGCCTTGCGAGAAGGGTAGAACATGCCATACCTACCTAGCTACTTATATACCAAAAGCATGTTAACCTAACATGTTGTATACCATAAGCCCATTAACCTAAAATATAAATAAACAAATACACAGACTGCTTGAAATGTGGAAGGATTACAGTTTTTTCAAAAATTATATTTAATTATGTGGATACTTTAATATTATACTTAAAATGTGGAAGGATTACAGTTTTTGCGAAAATTATATTAGTATTACTCATCGAAACCTATATTCATTTACAACTTTGTTAATATCAGCCTTCAGTTGCACAAAATAATTACAATATTAAAATTTTTCAAAATTTCCTTATACATGAATAAACTGCAGAGCACAGTAATCATAAGTTATGCTAACATTCGAAAGCTATTATTTTAAACTATATGAAGAAAATTTCTTGGTAATTTCTGCACATTTTCATGGCACAGATAACACATATGTTGAATGCCAACCAATTTAACGTTTGGCATTCAAAATAGAAAATACCCTGCGTTAATACGTTTTCCAAATGCCATAAAACCATTCCTTAGAAAATATATAACATAAACTTCATTCTGTATTATATTCATGACTTACCACCTTATTGGTTAAAATTCCATAATCGGGGTGAGAGCCAAGCTCTGCGAGAGTTTATTTGGCGCGATTTTAATTTGGTTGTGGTTTCCGGCTGTATGTTTCGTTGTGGCAAACCTAGAGCTTTACGGTAATTGTAAGAGCGCAAATTTAGTGTAGCCAGATTTTTTTTTAAAATTTAATTTTGAAATACTGTGTTTGTTTTTAAAAGTTTTACTGTTTAATATTATTGTTATATATATGTTTAATATATATTTATATAAATATTTGCAGAAGGTTAAGTTTGTTTGGTTTGGAATGTTAATTTGTTGGTTTGGAATGTTAGATTTCATATGGCATGAAGTTTATAGTTTATGAATGTTTTCATTTAATTTTTTTTAGTTAAGTATTATTATTATTTTTTTAGTTTTGCTTCTTGCATTTGGCAATCGAAAGATGTGAAACATTTAAAGCTTTGAACAAAAGTTGTTTAGTGTGTTGAATTCCACAACGATAGTAACTTGAATATTTTAGTTAGTTTATGATGCTGAATATGCATAATTTGGTACTCTGTTTACATTTAAAACTGACTTCAGAGTGCTCTGATCTGATAAGTGTATACATTTATTTACTCAATAATTATTTACAAGAACTGTTAATTCTACTATTTTATGATGAATTACATATATATAGGACTATGCTTTTACTTGCAAAGCTGTTGGACTTTGTTTTACTCATCTAGTATTTTATTATCTCATTTTACTGTTTACATAAAATGCGTTTCACTACTGCAAAACTTAAAAGTTTTAAGGCGCCTAAAAAAATTCGCCAAATTTTGAAGGCCAAAATAGTTTGGCGCCAACTTACCCCGCTTATGGAATTTTAGCCATATCTGACACCTGACTGTTGCACAGCTATGAGCTACAAAAAATGACATTATAGGTATTAAAATAGTACAGAATTTATGTGGTATGTTCTTTTCTACAAAACTCTTATTTAGCTACACTTTTTATAATATAATAATTGCATAATCTTATATATCATTAAGCACATCAACAAAACTACACGCAACTTCGATCAAATAATATTCGTTTTCTAAAACTATAATATTTTATGTAACACTAAAACCTCTTCAAATACTAAATGAAAATTATTCAAACATACTAAGAAAAATATTTAGCCATTTTTAATAACTGCATACGACATTAGAATTCCAGAACGTTCACAGTTTTCAATCGGAGCATTTTATTCATAAACAGTTTCGAAAAATATAGAAATTAGAAGATACCTTTATCATCGAGCATAATAGACACGCACGCAAATTTCTCAGATCTTTGGGAATACTTTCTAACGACATTTTAATAGTAGCACTCGCAAGTAAATGACACAAATCTCAAAACACGAGACGAGTAAACAGCACCAGGTTACCACATTAAAGTCAGACAGATGTCCTGTTTTGCACCCACTAAGTCTTTCTACCCCAATTGGCGAAAATCAAGTTTCAGGGTGTTTCCAACAAGGAGGTTAGAATAGAAGGAGGGAAGGTTCAACTCAAACGGTGAAGCTTGGCGGCCATCTTCCTGTTATCACCGTGACTTGTGCAAGGAAGGCTGTCATTGCAACATTTTTTTCTTTTCTTTTTGAAGCATGTCAGCTTGTATTGCATATGGGTGCACAAATAGATTCTCGAAAAAAATTCTGGGCGTTATTTTTCACACGTAAGTATTGATTTTCTTTTTTTATGTAATACGACAACTATGTCAAAAAATATCACACGTCATGTTGGTTTTCTTTCCAAGATGTGAAAAAAAAGGGACTTAAATAATCAAAATAGGTTACGTAATATAACTATAATCAAAATTATATTAAATACATTTCAATGTTTCTGTTTATAGCTGGTATCTTCGTTACTTAAGATACAATGCTATATGGTAGGATTTAAATTGTATAATTTTAACGTTTTAGTTAATTCGTTTTATAACTTTCATGAAAAGTAAGAAATCAATTGTTTACTATTTTTTTATTAATTGTAAAGGAAGCAATGCTTTTCTTTATATATTAATTATTATTCATTTAAGTTAAGATAAACTGTTCTGTTGTTAAAAATTTTTTTGCATAAACTTACAAATTTCTGGCATTATAGTGATAAAATTAAGTAAAATATTTACACAATTGAACATGTGGAAAGATGTATCCAAAAACTTATATAGGTGTATTTCTGTAATTCAACTTATTTAAAGGCAGTTTCTTTGAGATTAATAAATATGAAATGCGCATAAACTGAAATCAATGAATTCACATAAATCTGTTTTATTTTATTAAGATTTATTTTCTAACCTAAGCAAATCCGTGAAATATGCAGAAACATCATTTTTAAAGGCTTTAATGTTATGCGCATGCATTTAGATTTCGAACTATTTCTTAATAATTTGCTGTACATAGTAAATTATGGATATCATCTTTATTACTTTAAAACAAAAATTCAACAATATCAAGGGATTTCATTATAAATTTAACATATTTTTACTGGAAATAAATGCACGGAACAGCTTAAAAACACGTGCGCATGTCAATGCCGTAATGCAATGTTTTGAAGTCACAAACATGGACGCCGCTTGTTCGGCGGAGTTTCATTCCCCGATAGTGGAGGAAACTGCGAACCCTCCCTCCTTCTATTCTAACCTCCTTCCCAAGGTTTCCAAGGAGGTTCAGTGGCCTTGGTAATACCTCCAAGGCCACTGAACTATAAAGTTGGCCTTGGTGCTTCCAAAGTGAATCTGCTACGAAACAGAAACAAAAAAAAAACGAGAGATATTCTTCCGAGAGCAGCAGCCTTGGTGGCGACAATTTGGCTCCTTTAAATATGAAATAAATAAAGATTATTTGTAAACAGCATATATTGTGTTCAATTTTCGGGTAATTTGTGATAAATAGTTTAATTCTCGTATTATAATTAATAGATTTAATTTCATTAAATAATGGGCCAAATAGATTATTTGATTATATAAATAAGAGGAAAATTTTAATTCACTCCTCGTTTTTTTTTATTAAATATTATATTTATTTGTTAAATTCAATTTCATCATTCCTGAGGCATGGCGCAAGAGAACTATTTACTTTAATTTAATTTACTATTTCTCCGAAGATCTCCATATATAGTTTTTTTAATTATATTATTATATAATTTGTTTTATATTTACTATAAAAATAACTATATATATATGTGTGTATAGTTTTTGATATTTTATAAATGCATTATTTTATAAATTTTTATAATATTATTTCAAATATTATAAAACTGTAAACAAATGCAATAAATAACAATATTATACGAGGGCTATCCAGAAAGTAATTACGTTTTTGGAATAAAAAAATAAACAAAGTATAGGAAAACAATTTATTATATACAGATGAAAGCCACACTCAAATACTACTTTTCTACATAGTCACCATACAAATAAGGCATTATCGTAGCGATGTACGAGCTTGGAAATTCCTTCGTCGAAAAATTCGCCGCCTGCGCCTTCAACCACTTCGTCCTCTTCTTGCCTTCCATCCTGCACAAAACTTGTGGTAACCAAGCTTTTCGCTGATGATTTCGTGCAACAAACTTCGCGAAATTTGTGGAAAACTCAAAGAAAGTTCCGTTATTGTGAAATTTCGATTTTCACGGACTTTAGCATCGACTTTTTCGAGAAGTTCGGCGGTCACTATGCTGGGTCTTCCCACTTCGATCTTCGTCGTGAACATTGGTTCGGCGGCCATTTTGAAATCTTATGACCCACTGACGCACTCCACCTTCAGTGATAATGTTGTCCCCATACACTTCACGAAGCTGCCGATAGATTTCTATCGGTTTACAGTTTTTTGCAGTCAGAAACCTTATTACTGAGCGCACCTCGCAGCTCGCGGGATTTTCAATTAACGCAGACATTTCAAACCGTCACAGTATCTGAACGGAGCACAGCACGAACCTCTCACTAGCACGGCTAGATGCAGACTGAGCTGCGCAACGCTCTGACCCCAAGATGGCCGCGCTAGCCCCGCCCCTAGCGGACACAGACGGAAACGTAATCTACTTCCTGGATGGCCCTCGTATTATTAATTTTTCCTAAGAATTTCTGTCTCAAGCAGTCTCCTTTCGTTTTTCTGTCTCAAGCAGACAAATAGTCTTTCTTTTTCACAAAATTTATGTGAACGGTTTCGGCAACAGCCACTAATCCAAACGGAAGTTTGCGCATTGTTTGTGTAGGTAGATGTGGAGGGTGTAGAAGTTCTTTTTGTCATATATTTGGTTTTTAAATAGGCTTATATTCATGTGTAATATAATTCAAAAATATTATGGAAGCCTTTGCTACTTTATGAGAGTTTATATTAAAATGATATTCTGTAATCCGTCTAGCCTTTATACTTACTATGCAGTTGTCAAGTGTAGATCTGTCTTTTTTTAAATCCTAAATTGAATGCATTTTTATTCTAATGCCGAATTTTTTGGACCAGACGCTAGCCGCAGTAACGTAATATCAGACTGGATGTTGCAGTCTTTAATGAGAGAAATGTCTAAACCAGAAAATAATGTCAACGCTTTGTCTTGGCGTCGTCTGCACCTGAGCAGGGCGAAACTTAAAGCATCAAGTAGAACATCTGCACTTTTATCAGGATTTGCAATGGTAAGAGAATTCGAATTCATCTAAATGTAAATCAAAAGTCATACTTTTTTTCTTTACGATTAATACAGATATTTTTTGGAAATTAGCACTTTTATAATTTTACAAATTAAGTAACTGCAATAATGATTTTAACAAAAGGCTGATACTTTAGCTTACAAAAACAAATATCAGATTCATAAGAAATGTTTTATTTTTAACAAAAGAAAAAGTTGTCTCTTAGTTGATCTCTTGAAAGGTTTAAAGAACCATAAATTTTAGGATTAAATTCATCTTTGAAGATTTTCCTATTTAAGGAGATGGTCATTAAATCCAAAATATGATGTATAGTCAAAGATCTTCTAGTTTAATCCTAGTATACAGTTCACACGGGATTTGGCGACTTTTGATGACATTATGATGAGCAGTAAACGAATCATTTTGGTGTTAGCAACAGTTTTCAAAATCGCGCCAAGGCCGTACCGTATACTAGGATTTTACCCATCTTGTTGAAATATTCTTCATTGAGCCGAAAGCTCATTCAGCTTGAATACCAGTATCAACAGTGTCTGTACTGGCTTTACCTTTCTCTGTTAAGAATTTCACTGTACAGTTTTCCTATTAAAGCCATCTTAGTGAAATTCTAAAAATAATTTACTTTTACTTCATGCTTTAATAGAAAATCTAATGTTTGGAATAGAATGATTTGATGCGCAAGACGTGTGTTTTTCTTATAGTGAATAACAAGCAAGTAAAATAAACAAGGAGTTCACAAATTTAACAAAGGACTCATGCAAGCCTACTATAGCTCATCCCTGGATAACGCTTATTTTACATTGGAAAATGGTTAATATCACTTTAAGAAATAGAAATACATGCACTATATTTTGCCTTCCTATCAGCAAAAAATAGTTGAAAATTTAAAAAAGTCCTTTCCAGCAAAATTTTTAATTATTACTTACAAGTTATTAGTGTTATTTCTAGTTTTATTGTCCCACCACATAGAAAAGATATATGAGTAATCATGGTTGGGCTCAAGAGGTGCTTCTTCTTTCTGAGATTGTTTCCTTTAGTAATGAAAAAATTAGGCTAATCTTTGGAATATGGTAACAATTAGTTTGGCGACACTTTGGTAAGGCGATAAAAGGTTACTAGCTAGGACTTTAGCAGTGTACATGGATAAAGTCAAGAGTGTTCACAGTGTCATTTTTGTGCAATTTTGGGATGTTTTTTTAAGTGAAAATAGGTTGACGTCTACATGCATGATACCGTGTATGTGCAATTCTTAAAAACGCGGCAAGCAGTGGGCGATTCTGCACTCCGAATTTTGCACCTAATCTTCGTCATGATTAAGCACTTATGTTCCATAAAAGTTCTAGCAAATTGTTGGGAAAAAAATATTATTGAGTAAAAAAAAAACATGCCTTTACTTCCTGAAAACAAAATGGCATCCAAACAAAAACTAGGAGTTTTCTGTAGCAGGGTTGGTCTCCAAAAAATTGCCAAGTTACCATAATCCAAAGATTAACCGGCTGATCTTTGGAATATGGTAACAGGTAGTTTGGCGTCATTTTGGAGGTGGTAAAGGTTACTACCTAGGACTTTGAGAATAATGTGTGAAGTACTCAGTTCTGATTATGCATTATTTTGTGTGAGGGAAATGAGAGATCATGAAATGTGTCATGTGACATTAATGGACGAATCACTGTTCTTTAATCTGAAAAGGGGGTAAATTTGTAAAAATATCTGCGGCTGATCTTTAGAATATGGTAACTGGTAGTTTGGCATACCTGATCGCGAAAAAGTACATACCTTTTCCAAGGATGAACATTTCCACGTATAAAATAAATAAAATATCCAAAAACTTTTACCTCTAAATCATCTATTACATTATACACGTCACCAACGAATTCATACATGAAGCAGTACAAATATTTAGTATCAAATATTTAAATTATTTCCATGCACGTTTATTTCAACTTAAACGTAAACCAAATTCCTACAAGCATAAAATTCACAAAATAACTATCATTTAATTAAAATATCACTAAACCATGTACACGTCGACTTATTTTTACTTAAAAAAACATCCCAGAATTGCACAAAAATGGCATTGTGCACACTCTTCACTATATCCATGTACACTGCTTTTTTCTCATGAATTAGAAAAATTTCACGAAAATGCCTGAAAATACTCAATGTATACTACTCAAATGTATTACAAAATACTACAAACATATAACTCACAAAATCACGATCATTAAATTAAAATATAACTAAATTAAAAAACACTACTTAAAATATAAATAAGCACATACATTAAATTAATAAAAATTAGATTACAATCCTAATTACTTTAAACTAAATCATTGCTAATAACAATTTTCCAATAATACCTTATTAATTTATTTACTCCTTACATTTAGAACAATGCATAAAAATAATATCCTCAAATGATTAAAAATACTAACTTACCTCATCTTCAGAATCTTCATTACATGGCACGCACACTTCCCTACAGAAAGAGTTCCAATCGGCTGCTGTACTACTGCTAATTTCTAAATCCGAAATCCAGTAGTCAACTGGCAGTCTATTCACCCAGTAATAAGAAATTAATAAAATTTCACCCATACTCAAACTATTCAAAGTATTTCAGCAAACCTCTATATACTAAGTATAAAATTGTCATGTATTTTTGTATTTAAAATCATATTTAAAATTGTCAATTTTATATACCACTCAAACTATTTCAGCAAACCACGTAGCCTTCCTTACACTCCGTTTCACAAAAATGTCGATTTTCACCAGATTTCTTGCACCGCCATTCAAACTTATCTGTAATATCCTTACTTTCACACAATCTCAACTTATTATTATTACAGTCAAAAGTCGTTAATTCGGACACCCATAATCCGGAATGATCTATAATCCGGACCTCAAAGCTACAAACTTTCTGCTCATGCGTCGCGTTGACGCATGCGTGTAAGACCTTTACGGCTGCGAATCCGCGCGTGCGCAAAATACGTTTACGAATGCGCATTTAATATATAATGGACGGTGTAAGCTAAGCTAAAATTATCTAATTATCTATTTCGGTTAATGTTGCAGATTGCATTGTACCTTAATCTTCGAATTGGATCCGGCTTATTATTTTTTGCAGACTGTTAGAGCAATTTTATAAAAGTAAGCTTGAACTTTCGATTATGTCAAATAGAATTTCCGATTTATATTTACTAATATGTAACGGATCTACAAAGCGAAAGTATGGTTCGAAGTGTCCATTAAACAAAAAGTGGAATTGCTGCAAAAAATGAATAAAGGCATATCCTTTGTTTATCTTTAACGCCGTGGCACGCTCAATGAATTGGAAGTTGATCTGTCAGCACTATCCTTATCTTCAGGGCAGATGTTTTTATTTTATTTGGCTTATAATTCCTTACTAAATGTAGTATTTTTTCATCTCGATGTACTCCGTCTTTGATATGATTTAAATAATTAAATCAAATTCCTCGTCATTATAATTCACTTCGCTTCCGATAGCGAAGAAAGTGACAGAGGTTATTGAAAACGAAAAAATTTTGATTGACAAATTAGTCGGTATTCTTGACACACAGCAATTATAGGACTTGAACAGCGGAACTTTGTAACTGACAAGAAATTATGTCTGTTTATAGAATTAAAGAGAATGTATTATCACACTAAAAAACGAAGCAACTTAAACAACTTACATTGAAAGAAATGTTTAATAAAAAGTAAACAAATAAATATTAAGCTTTTTTTTTTTTTTTTTGTAAATTTTGATACCCTTTAGATCATAACTGTTCTTTATTTCATAAATTACGGTTTCATATTTTTAATTGTAAAATTCTGCATGCCATCTTACCAGATTTAAACTGATGATCTATAATCCAGAAAAATCGATAATCTGGAATCGCCGAAGTCCCGACGTGTCCGGATTAACGACTTTTGACTGTATCAGATAAACGCATTAAAAATTTAGAATTCACTTTACATAGCACCATGCAATCCGAAAAGTAATCAACACTATTTCACACAACACACAATGAAGCTTAATACAAAATAATATAGTACTGCAGTTTTCCAAATTCCCCCCCCCCTTTTCCGATTAAAGAACTGTAATTCGTCCATTAATGTCACATGACATATCTCATGATCTCTCATTTCCCTCACACAAAATAATGTGTAATCGGAACTGAGTATTTCTCACATTATTACCAAAGTCCTAGGTAGTAACCTTTATCGCCTCCAAAATGTCGCCAAACTACCAGTTACCATATTCCAAAGATCAGCCCAAATGTCAATGTACTTGGTACACTGCTAAAAAAAAAAAAAAAGTTACAGTCCTATATCTCCTGATCTACTGGGCCGATTGACAAAATTCAAATTGCGTTCTTCATGTCTCGAAAGTGCGACTTAGGATATATATTAGATTTATATGTAGTACTATTCTAACATAGGTATTTTGACACAAAATCGGACTTTTTCTGAAATAACATACCAATTTTTTTACATATTTCGATTCTACGACTCAAATTACACCTAAATATGAAATTTTGTAAAATTTGGAGCGAAATTTACGGAGAAAATCATAAATTTATGTTGGCCCTTTTTTGTCAGTTTGCGCCAAGAATACTTTACTTGGCAAACTTCTTAATATATGGCAACCTAGTTTCCTTTTCTGTGAGAGGAAAAAAAGTCACCATCGTTCCTTTTTTCCAAATAATATTCTTTATGTTATATTTTTTTATTAAACTTATTATTTTAAGTAATTTTTTTCTTTTTTGAATTTCATTTTAATTGTTTAAGTTGCACCTTTTTTTTTTTTCGAATAACTGTTTTAAAAATTTCTATTTACATATTCGACTTGTAAATAAAGGTGCAGCATTTATTTTTTTTTTCAAATAGTTTTCTTTATAATATTTTTCGTCATAGTTATTATTTTAGGTAATTTTTAAATTTTATACTTTTATTTTAATTGTTTGTGGTACATTGTCTCTTCAGAT